ATCATGTAGACTAAGCCAATTTCCACAATTTCATGTTGTCGGTGTTTACTACACTCGGCACAGACTGAAAATTCACATGACATACACCAGTATTCTATAAATCTGTCTCGATGTCTTTCACAATATTCTTGTACCATAGAGTCGTCATACTTTAAGCGGTCAATCACTACATCATGGCATCTGGTGTCTAGATCTATCATATGTTTCTCCTTACAAAGAACACAAAGATCTTCTTTACATGTTTTGCAATAGAACTCAGCGTACCCCTCACACCGAGAACATTGTGGGACTTTCAACTTTCTGTTTTCTTTATCCATTCAGAATCATAACATACTCGCCTTTTTATTGATTTTTTTTATATTCTCCAAAATAAGTCTAGTAAAACAAAACATTAAAATTAAAAATTAATTTTGATATATTAAATATTCTGTTTAAAAATAAAAAAAAATATTAATTCTTTCATGAAGCATACATTTTTCGAAGAATAATTAGACATATCCTAATCTCTGCTTTTGACCTTTTTTGATTTTTTTATTAAACTGTAAAGAAATGACTGTACAAAGAAGAGCGTTTATAGAATTTCACACTTCGTTTACTTCATTTACTTTTTATAATTAGATAATGTTCGTTAAAATAATGATTCAATTAATAGTTTTCTCTTCATCGTGCAACAGGCTAAGACAAGTCATAAGTTTTATCAACTGTACAATTCTTGTTAACTTGGAAACAAAACTCAGAAGTGTGTGTCTTCCAGTTGAGAAGTCGACATACACGTGTATTTACTAGCATCTGAAAAGTTGAAATCATCATTTTCTGACAAATCAACATTGTTATCTGACACAAATATCTAATATCACACGTTACTAGTATACCTGGCAAGTTTACCTTAGTTTTTGATGTCTATATTATATTTTTCGAGATTAGGTTGGCAACAGAAATAACGTAGAGCATTCAGATAAGTATTTAAACGTACAAAACAATTATGAGAGAATTTTCACAGATAATTAATTTGACATTTCTTATAATGACAATTTGTCAGATTCTCATACTTACTTGTTAAGAAATGATTATATGAAGATGACATGTAGTTAACTAGATCCAACATAAATCCTAATTGTTTGATGTGTAGGCTATGAAATGAGGAAGTACTTAAACTCACCAATTCATATTTTGAATAATATAAGGATTCCTGATCTCTCCACTTGCGTTGACTTATTCAGAGGATATCCACCTCATTATAAATAGAGTAATGAGGGATTCACGATAGGTAGGTCACTGGTCATTTAAATCACTTCTGTGCGATCGCCACGTTGAAATGTTCTGCAGTGGGTATGTGGTCATTGGGGACTTTACTTGTACTGACGTTGGATCTAGATCTATTGTACTGAGATTTTTAAACTCAGGAATTAAAAGTCTGAATTGAATTCTATATAAAGAAATTTGACTAGCAAGGATTTATTTGTTTCAAGTACCAAAACATTAAAACATGGTAAAGGGTTTGCAACAAAGTTATTATTTATATTAAATGAACAATTTTATTTCATTATTAAAGAACTGGAAACTTGGAGAAACACATATAAAATATTTATATTAACAATGAAGACTTTCTTAGATGATCATTGAGTAACAAAAAAATGTAATGTGCCAATAAATCAGGGCATTTCAATCAGTCAGACTCTTGAAGGCATTATTAATCAATATTTTGACCAAAATACAACATATAAATAAACAAACGTTGCACAGGACATCCCTAACAAAATACTAAAGTTAACTGTAGTTATACTAAGTATATAGTGATAACTTTGACACTTTACTTTACTATAGTGAACACTTTGACAGTTTTATTTACTATATTGAACACTTTAATTTGACACTTTGATTTACTTTAGTAAACACTTTGACACTTTGATGTACTAAAGTGATAAGTATGAAACCTTTAAATTCTCAGCAAGGTTCAGGACGCCCATAGAAAATACGGTTAAAATATTACTAGGAAATCAATATACAGCTGTAATGTTGATATTATTTTTTATTTACAGGATCTTTATATTAATGAGAATTTTTGTATTTGCGTATGTATGTATGGGGTCTCTGCCAAAGTCGGAATATGCGACTTCGCTTACATCAGCTGTTTATCATGTGACATATTTAAAATTCGAAAAAATACGTACGGCTACAAAGATCGTCAAAATTCAACAATATACGGATAATTGTTCACAATGAAAATGATTTTGTTTTCTTAAAGAAAAATTCCTTAACCTGAAAAGTCCTGGGAGCAATTTCCCCATGCCTGGTCAGTAATTAAAACTTAACAGCCTTTTGATAAACTTTGTACATTTCCATGATACGCGTTGAAATAATGTGAAATTAAGGAAAAAAGCAACTGCGCACAACTTTCTCCAAACACTTTTCAAAATAGTAGAGATAATTGTAAAAAAAAATCATAACTTATAGTTAAGTAGATATCGTTGAACTCTTTTAAATTTTCGATGGGCTGTGTCTTTAAGGTCTCACACAAGGAAATAATTTCACTATATGTTACTATATAGCTTTAATCAATTTAATTAATTAACTAGAGTTTCAACAGATAATTCATGAAATAGAAAATAAAGATTAATGCTTAGACAAAAATATGAGATCAGAAAAAATACCTCTTATGCGGCTTTTAAGAAAGAAAATTGAGAGTAAACATACCTACCCAATAATACACGTGAGTTTCAGATGTTGACAAACAGCCTAAACACCATCCAGGAAGTTGCATCACAGGCACCTAAAAAGTTCCCTTTAATTCAGTGGCACAATTCTGCTAAAGATATGATATTCCTAGTACATGTGTCCAAAATTAAAACTACAGACCTAAAAAAGTTGCCAAAAATTAAAAAAAGAAAAAAAAATGGTCTCTGTATATATAGAACTTCATTTGACTAAGTTTATTTTGATTGGCTATTTCCTTGCATGCGTAAGACCTTTAATTGTAGTTCGTTTACTCAGTATGTTTAAATATGCATTGCTGCAACTTTATATAAGGCCAATTCGTATCCAATATAACCCAGAATAGACTGTAAGATATTTTATAAATGCCTTCAAAAATATTACTCAATTTTAGCAGATCACACTTATTTAATTTCATTTTTCATATTCACAAGTGTAATGGTTTGGGCCGTGATAGCTTGATCTACGTCTCAAGTACAGAGAAACTGCATGTCAAACTAGTTCTATGACATCATCCATATAAATATACACATTGTTTTATGTGAAATGATTGTATGTAAGGGTGCATGAAAAAAATAGTTTATTTGCCTATGTTCATTTGTACAGCTTTACCATGACGTCATACGGAGCTCTGCACCAGCTTATGTACCTATGGGAGTCCTTAACTTAGCTGTGTTACCATGGGATATCCCAGCCAATTACCCAAGATAAACACAGTGACACTTAATAATCCTTCTCTTTTAAATTACATACACTCATTGACAAAACAAGTAAATAAAAACTAACAAATTTAAAACACAAGCAGATACGATAAGTATTTTCCTCTTATTTTTATATTAGTACAATGTCTAGGTTATATTTCAGTTAATTTGTATTTATATAAAAGCACTCAAATCTATTTTTGGTATATACTATTTTCTGATAGAAGACCAAGTTTATCAAAATCTAAAATATGAAAAAGACTAGACCAGCATGACTATAATGCAAATTTTATTGTGAACATAATTCAAGTTATGATTATAAATGTTAGGAAATCAACACATATCACTGGGTTGTTTGTCTATGACAATGTCTGGAAATGATTCTACAAAATACATGTTTTTTTTTTGTTTGTTTATTTACACTCAAACCATACAATGGTATATGAGGTACAGGAACGTACTTACATACATACAAAATACAAAGTCAAGTAAGGAAGAGTAGTGCCAATTAAAGAAAATAAGCAGGCCAATATCTTTTAAGCAAACAAAGACAGTTTTAACAGTAAGTCAACATTTGGGATGGACATAATTTTTTTTTTCAAATTTATAAGTGTTTACATGAGAGCAATACTTCTTATCAATAAGTTTTACTCGTAAAGACGAAAAATGTGGACATTCCATTACATAATGAAATTCATCCCCCAAAGTATTTTTGCTACATAAATTACATAATCTTATAGATCTATCAGTATTAGTCCATCATAAATAATCCTTCAGAAAAGTGTTTATAAAGAAAGCAATACATTATGTATGTCAGCTTCCGCTCATGTGACATCAAAAGTTTAGCCCAGTAAGTAATCATTCGTACATTTATATATTTCTAAAGGATATCGCCCAGTTTCCCCATACACCATACAATTTGGGGTACTGGACTTAACATGTAGCATTCATGTATAAAGTAGATGTGTATGTATATGTATAAAGTAATTGAAAGTAATTGAAAAAGTAATTATAATTACATTGGAAATTTTTGCTGTAATCGATTAAATTACGATTACAAGTAATCGAAAACCTCTTCGATTACAGATTACTGTCGATTACTTGAAAAAAGTAATCATTACAATCGATTACAATTACTCTCTTACGATTACCCCATACCTGTTTACTACAGTGAAAACTTAGAAAACTTTAATTTACTATAGCGATCACATTGACATTATAGTGATCACTTTGAAATCTTTGATTTACAATAGTGATAACTTTGAAAACTTATGTAAATTATGGACTAATATGAAAAAAAACGTTAGCTAGCATTTGATTCATTGATATATTGTATTTGCTGAGGTCATTGTATCGCCCATAGAACTTATGAAATAATTACTTTAAACGAGAATATTGATATTCTTGTTTCATCAACTGTTTGTCAATAATTTACCTCGTTTTAGAAATTGTTCATACGTAGAGCATGTTCTTGCGTATCAATTCAAATGAGATTCATAAACTCATAATATACACATGTGGCCCAGTCATTAAAAGCGTTTTCGAGATAGTCCTTTCTTTGTATGTATCTGTATATACACTTGTAAGCTAGTCATTAAAATCGTCTATAAGATAGTCTTTTCTCTTTATGTACCGATAGACATCCACTCTTCTGTTATGATCCGTTGTTCCAACAAAGAGAAGGTGATCTCTGTTATCATAGTCCAGACCCCCTGATACATTTATCTTTTGTTTGGTCAAAAGCAGTGATAAGAAGTGACCGTCTTTGTCAATCATTTGTACATTTTGACTTTTAGCATCAGACACCAGGATATTTGACAGAGCGTCAACACAGACTCCAAGTGGAGATAATCGTGGTCCTGATGGAGGTCCCATGTAGGAGAAGCGGTGTTTTCCTCCAAACTCTGTCACAACAACGCCATGATTCAAGTCAGAAACAATTACATCTTTATTATGGTTCTCAGTGATGTATTTTGGAAATTTATACAGTTTCTGACCAGTGTTATCGTGTTTGATGACCTGCATTTGTTGTCCTTTACTATTATACCGTATTACCTTGGCATCTGAATACATATTTTTAACAGTATCATACCTTATTATCGCAACTATTAGATCTCCATTAGAGGGAGAAGAGAACAAACAATCTGCTTTCCATGGGTCTGTGTTCTTTATTAGAGTAATACACGTTTTGTTGTCTAAAGACAACTTGTTGATGTTATTATATTTATCTATGAAAATCAAATTTCCCTCACGAGTTACAGAGTGTCCTCCAGTATAACTTATTGTATTATTCACAATATGTAGAGGGTCACCTGTTGTATTTGTCAAAATGATTCGTCCATACGGGTCACTGATCCATATCAGATCTCTTGTAACACAGGATATGTGACGAACCAACATAGCACCTATCACTGTGAAAGATTTCTCCAACACACACACAGGTGTATGCATCAATTCCAGTAGCTGTTCATTTCTTATTTGTCTTTTACCTGTCTCTGTGATTTGGATTTCTCCTAGTAGCTTTATTGCCCCCACCCTGTTCATTTCAAAGCTCAGGGAGAAGGAAAGAGTATCAGGAATGAACGTGATTCTTGGAATAGAAGTTTTCTTAAGGCAGATCAGAAACTGTACAGGCTTGTCTAATACCTGTTCTAATTGGTATAAATATCTTTCTTTTCTGGTAATGTTTCTTTTTGGTATTTGTAATCTAGATTGTAGAATTAACAGCTTATACGTTTTGAATCCATTCAAATCATTTACTATTGAATCAAACATACTCTTCATTCTCACAGTTTTCTTTGTCATGCATTCCTGGAGGCCAGATAATTTTGACTGATAAATTTCCTCACTCCTTTTAACATCCGATAGAATAGAAAGATTATTATAGATAATATCAGTTCTTATATGAGCGATTTTTTCTTTGTGTTGTTCTATGCACAGTTCATAAGCTGAGATGATATCCAGAATTTCGTGATTTAGGTGTCCATCACACTCCATACAGATTGGAAGTTTACAAGAGAAACACCAGTGTTTTATGTATCTAAACTGGTGCGTGTCACACGACGCTAGAATTATGAAGTCGCCATACTTTAACCGGTCAATCACTACATCATGGTATCTGGTGTCGAGGTCTATCATATGTTTCTCCTTACAAAGAACACAAAGATCTTCTTTACATGTTTTACAATAGAATTCTACGTCCCCCTTACACTGAAAACAATGTGGAACTTTCCAATGAGTGTAAACATCTGTATCCATTGATAATCGTATCATTTACACTTAGTTTATTGCACTTTTTATATTTTCTCAAATTGGTCTTCTCACTGCGTTGCAATCTTGATAAAAATTAAAAAAAATTAAGATGTAAAATATTTTTCTGTTTTCCATCTTCTTAAAGTAAAGAATTGTACTTCTTTATTGGTAACATTTTTCAAAGAAGGACTGGACATAAATTAATCTCTGTCTTGGATCTTTTTGCGATTCTTCTATCAAAATGTAAAGAAATGACTGTACAAAGAAGAACTTTCATAGAATTTCACACCTCATTTACTTTTTTTACCGAACACTGTCCATCAAAATAAAGATTTTATGATCTCTTGGTGACAAGAGGCTAAGACAAGTCAGAATCATCATCGATTCTCCTGTACAATTCTTCTCTTGTTAACGTAGAAACGAAAGCCAGAAGTGTCTGTCTTCCAGTTGACAACTTGACATCACTTTCTAAAAAATCAAAATGGTTATCTAACAAGTAAACATAGATATTTAATATTTAATACCATTTACAACATTACATCTGGAAGGTCAAAGAAGGATATGGAGATAACGAACAGTATTCAATCTCAGTCCATTAAACAATATACAAGATCAGAGCAGAGCAAACACGGACCTCAAAGTAACACAGTCAAAATCATGAATGTCTTTCTTTACGATAATAATGCAGACAGAGAAATACTTAATATGAAAATTTTAATGAGTGCCGGAAAAACAAATGTTGTATCTACCGTTTCGTTGTTTTTGTGTTTGTTAAGTTCACACCACTTTTATTTATTTTTAGCTCAAATGGTAAATAACATTCAACTGGAGCTTGCAACTGTGAGATGTTCTGATATTCTAAGAACGTTTTTGCATCAAAAGTTTTGGTCTACTTACATTCATTCCTGGGTACTTGGGACCATGGTAATTATGGAAACTTATACAACTTTTCAGCGCAAACGTACAATAGGGAGGAAGATGTATTTAGCAATATTTTTGTGATGGAGCATACTGAAAATATTTTTACTTTTATCTTTCTCCATAAAAAATACAATGTTTAGGTTCTGAAACCTGTAATTTTCTGAAACCTTATACATTTAGGAATTGAACAAAATTAACAAGGGTCATGCAAAAATTCTACATTTGTCAATTTTCCCCTTTGTGCGTCACGGTGTCTCTTTAACCTTAGTCGGTATAATATTTTGCAGGTCAGAAAAATATTTCGCATTGTTAAATAATTACCAGATTTGTCATTTTTTCAGTTAATTCATTTGATTTTTCATATAATGTCAATCTGACAGATAATTACATTTATATGCTTGTTTAAACAAATGCTTCTTTGACAGGTTATAATGATGACAAGTAGTAATCAGTTAGTGCCATTTATCTTGATTAAAATAATCATTTGACAAGTTGTTGTCCTTTTAAAAAAAGACTACAACACATGGACCATATGTATGTGTTTCTAAACGAAATTTAATTCAAGACAATTTCTAGGTTTGGTGAATATTCACGTAGGTTCGTTCAAATTTTCTATTATGATCTGCCTACTTTGACTGATAGTACTTACATATAGCAAAATTGTTAAATGTTATCTCCAATTGGCCTATATAGTTTTGTCATTTTAAAAAAATTGGGCTATACTGATATAAACTATAGTTGCTGGGACTTTACATCTGTTGATTTATACGGAAGAAATTTATAACTGGAAAAATATATCTGATGATACACGTGTAGCACAGATCTGTAGTACGCAGATTTTTTCAGAGCCCCCCCCCCCTTCCTCCATATGGAAAAGCGCTGCTACAGGCCTGTATCAGCCTGTATTTGGATTGCTCCATATCAAATTATATTTGCAAGGCTTGATGCACAGAAGAAATGCCGAAGAAGACTTATTCTATCTTTTAAAACACAGAACTATTCGTTTAATGAAGTTCTTGATTCAAGTTGTTATTCTATATTCTGCAAGTTCTTCCTATACTTTTTAAAATGCATATGCCGTAAAATCGATGTTTAGTTTCTATATAAATGTGTATGTATAAGAAAGAAATTTGGATTCGCCAATAAATTAATAGATACGATATGCAGCTTTTGAATAGGGCGAATTATTCTACGGGTAAGCTGTCTTAGGGAAGGGGGGTCGAACTTTCCCAATCGCAAATTCTTCGGCCTTTCCGACTTGCGGAAGTTGTTTTTCCGACCTCTCACGGAAAGACCCGAGATGACTCTCCACCTTTCTCGGGCATGCGTAGCCTGACTTATGCCCATGCATCCGGTTTAACCTCGCTTATATCTTTACTGCGTGGACTTTAGGGTCCACGCAATAAAATGAAATAAAGAACTGACAAGTATAAAGATTAATTCATGCCTTTATGTATGCATAAATAGTTGAACAATCGATATAAACATTTTACAAAATATGCTACAACAGCCATTTTTAAATAATCCTTTAGACTGCTTACCTGTATAACATCATTGGTCAATATTCAGATCTTCCATACATCCTAGATGTTTCATGTGTAAAATAGGAAATGGGAGAGGGGTTTTCTAAACCAATTACAGGTTCTAAAAAACATAAGTAATCCCTGACCACGCTTCATGTACATTGAAATATACAGAGGGAAGTCCACCAGACTATAAATAGAGGAATGAAGAATACCTGATAGGTCGGCCACGGTTCATTTAAATCACTTCTGTGTGATCGCTACGGTGAAATGTTCAGCAGGGGGTACGGGGTCATTAGAGACTTTTTACTGATACAAGCTATTGTACTGAGACCTTTAAACTCATGAATTAAAAGTCTGCATTCTATTTTGTTTTTATATGACTAGTAAGGATCTATTTATTACGTGTACCAAAACACTAAAATATTGTGAAGGGTTTTCAACAAAGTGATTATGCATTATCGCCGTTGTCGTGTTCGTTAGACCCTTACAACAAACTCTATGATATTATGATGACTGGTTTAATGAGCAAGTAGTAAACAGGTGGTATGCCACTGGAACTGACATTTAAAAGGAAATAGACAAAAACCTTTTGGTTAAACATGTTGTAGATTTTCTTAGATGATCACTGCGTAACATAGAAGGTCACTTGTACCAATAATTAAGGTATTTCAACCATTCGGACTCTTGAAGGCATTATTACGCGATATTTTAACCATAACAGAACATAGAGATATACAAACGTGGCAAAAGACATCGTCATAAATTATAGCAGTTGATCACTTACTGTAAAATCACAAACTTTCATGGGGGTTTAATTATTGTGGTTTCAAGGTATGAAGAGACCCACGAATTTATTCCACAAGGAAAGGCAATTTTACACAAATATTACACAAATATTACTATAATTCTTCAACCACGAAATCAAATCTCCATAAACCAATAAATTTCCCTCAAACCACGAAAATTTGACGCCTCAAGAACAAATTAAGTGATTTTACAGGATTTCATTGAATAGTTTATCGCAAATAGACACATTTTAAATGTAAGAAAGACGTGACCTGACAAAAAAAATTCTTCATTCTTTATTAAAAAAGTAGAAATGATTTGTGGAATAGATGAGAATATTTAATTGAAATAGGGGCAAAGTAAAGTTATAAGATTTAGTGTAATGACAATGCTATCCAAAGAAATTTTACTTTAAATAATGAAAGCAGTTAACATGTTCACAATGTGTTCAGCCATTGTATTTTATCCTAAAGATGGTCCTGAGCTGACTATTGTGATATGAGCAGGAGGTAGATGAGTTAATTCTTTAAATTTCCTTCATTTACCTCCTCAATCCTCCAACCAAAATGAAATCAAATTTAGGCACATAGAATAAGTTTCAGTATGTACACCACATGACGGAAAAACATACATGGATCAAAAATATATATTCTACCTCTGATTTTTTAAGAGGGTCGTGTTTGCTCTACATAAGATTTGTATTGTATTGTTAAGAGGAATTTTGATCTTGAAAATGTTTGTTATCTCCAAATTTTTCATTGAATGAAATTTTAAACTTGAATAATGTTTGTTTTCTTCATGTATTTCAATCTAAAAGTTACAATCGTACATAAATTAAATGCAAATTCATATCAGTATGTTAATTGTATGATAAAAATCCGTGTTAACATAGATATTGGGTAAAAAAAATATTTTTGACTGTCTTATAGATAAATATTCATCTAATAGTTCATTTCCATTCATTTCCTGTTCTTTTCCGATCAGGACAAGATATACATTACGAGTGAGACCAGTAGACAGGGTGTGCTCACTCCTCCATGGTACGTGTTCCGACCTCGCTGTTTTGGAGGTCTGTGTATCCTCTGTTCCAATTTTGTATTGTTTAATGGCCTTTTGAGCTTGAATGCTGTTCGTTATCTCCATAATTAATTTCAAACATTTAATCAATCATTCGAGATAGTAATTATACCTAGTATTTAGGAAAGCAATTAAGCATATTGATCTAAATTGATATTAACATACTTGTATAAGAAGAAATCAAGTCTAAAACACAAATATATAAGTCATCAGCTATTATACTCAGACTTCCATAAGCACACTTGTATCTTATCTTCCATTAATATCAAATAAAACGTATGGAAAATAATATTCAAATGGAACAAAATTGGCAAGTTTAAACATATCTGAGCAGAATATCTGCAAAATGCTACCTTTTTATGCCTAAATAGCTGAAATATATTAGGTATCGAGCAGAAAAGCGAGCTGATATACGCATTCATTGAAGGTTATACC